AGGAAAGAACAAACAAGACCAATGGCACGGGCAGCATGTTTGTGCCAAAAGGCCTTGTGAAGGCGGCATGTTCACGGTCAGCCTCAGCGGGTGGGGGCGGGGGGGGGGGTGCTGGAAGAGGGAGATAGGCGAGAGAACAAAGGCAAACCCTCTGGCATCCACCCACACAGAAAATTTCTGTACTTCTTACCATGGAAATATTCACTTAGAGGACGGGAACAGACTCCGGGGGACTTCCATCAGAAAGGGAAATGCCCCAAAGCCCATCCAAGAAGGAAGAGACTGGCAAATGGAGCCGTGCGGAAACGCTGGCCGATTCAGGATGCCAGATGTGTCTGCACGAACTGTGCTTACTCACCAGGGACTCAGGCAGACCCACTTCTCCCTGCACCCCATGCCGGCTGTCTTGGTGCTTCCCAGGCCGGGGGCTATTAAAAGCTCACACCACTGCACCCATCCTTATCCAGAACCTGCAAATCCTCTCCCATAGCCTATGGCACCCACTTAGTTGCCTAACTTAAAATCCTCTCGGATCCAAGGAGTCAAGAAGCAGGCACCAGACCAACCTGGGGACCCGCAGGCTTCTGAAACCACACTCTTTCACCACCGAATCAATCTCTACCTTTCACTTTCTAGTATCTCAGGAAGCAGCCCTGGGCGGACCGGTAGCCTTGGAGGACTGCTAATGAGCTTTCCCCATACGCAGTGTCTTCCTACTTCTTTTTCCTTCAGTGAGAATTCATGAAAGCATCTGCCCGAAGTCGCCTGGAAAACACTGAGTGCAGTATCCATATTCCTTCCCTTTGCAATGTTCACCGCTAACACACTGGGTTCACAAGTCCTGCCCATTTAGTGATGTGTTTTTTGCAGGTCCTGGTCACCTATACGCTGCAAGTTCAAGGTAAATTCTGGAGAAACTGGAAAGGAAACCACAAAACATGTGTTTCTGCTCTAGTTCCAGGAATGCTCATGTGTCTGAGAATGTAATACTCAAATACTCATCCACGTGGGGCAGCTGCCCGGCACAGTGGTTAAGTCCCAGCTTGGGATGCCTGCTTCCCACACCACAGTGCCTTGTCTGAACCGCAGCTTCTCTGCTTCTGAACTCGCCACCTACTACTGCACACCCTGGGAGGCAGCAGGGGAGGGCCCAGCAGTTGGGTCCCTAACACCCATGTGGGAGACCTGGATTGAGTTCCAGACTCCTGGCTTTGGTCTGCCCAGCCCTGACTGTTGTGGGCATTTGGGGAGTGAACCAACAGGTGAAGGTCAGTTGGTCTCTCTTTCTCTGCCTTTAAAATAAAAACTATTTCATTTTATTTTAAAAAGTAAATATGCATCTACAGATGAAGACAAATCCAATTTACTCAATATGACTGTAGCTAATAATAATTCAAAAAGGAAATTGCTCTGGGGACGGTTTTGTGGTTTGGCAGGTTAAGCCCTCCTCACTTGTGATGCCAACATCCCATATTAGAGCCCCACCCCCACCCCTGCTTGAGTCTCAGCTGCTCACTTCCAATCCAGCTCCCTGCTACTGTGCCTCTGAGAGCTGGGACTTTCTGTATTCCAAATTGCATTAGGCTGTCTTTTAATTGCAGCAAAATTTAATTTTTCCTATTAGTATAGATGATCCGGAACTAACTCTCCAGTTGATTTAGCCAAAAATCACCTGACATATATGCCTCCTAGGTGATTTGCCACACATAACAATAGTATATTAGGACATCAATAAATCTTCAGAACTGTCAAGATGAGTAGCCTCCAGTCTCAAGGGGAAATAGAAGATGATCCATTAGAATGTAGAGAGAGATTGGATTACCTGTATTTATCATATCCTTTTATACTTCTAGTTTAGAACTATGTTTTAAAGTGTACATAATACAGTCAAACCTTACAGATGCAAACTGTTCAGAAATTAGCACACAGGAATTGAAACATGGCTGCTTGGATGCTAAATTGTTTTATTATTACTTACAGGCAAGCGTTATTTTTTTTTTTTAAAGTTCAAACATTCCTCATTTATAGCCCTGGGCCAAGTCCTGACTTCTATTTGATTTTGGTAAATCAACTTGCATTGGGACATAGCCACGCCCATCGATCTACACATCATCTCTGGCTGTTTTTGATTACAATGGTAGAATTCAGTGGTTGTGGCAGAGAAGATGGCCCACAAATCCTAGAAGATTGTCTGGTCCTATACAGAAAACCCTTGGTCTAGACTAACCTGTTTTCATGGGTGAAGGAGGTGAAGCCCAGAGGTGATGAGTAAATTGGCAAAGCGCAACCAGAACCACCGGCTTTCTTCAAAGCATTCCTCAGCCAAAGCTCTGTGTACAATATCACACTGTCATCCTCGTACTCGGTGCTCGTTTACGTCTTTTGACAATCAGGCTAAGATATGCCTAGACTAAATTCCACTTCAGCCACAGCAGCTGCACTACCCAACCTCACCTTTCAGCTTTCGTCCCAGGCTTCATTCAGCCTGGCTGGGTTGCAGCAGCTTCCTGGAGCCACACTGGGTGGCCTCCACTGCCAAAAGATGCTGTCACCATGCTCATGCCCTAGTCACTCCAAACAGAATAATATCACCTGGTTTGGTGTTGTGGATTCTTTTTTCTTTATACCCTCTCCTGTACTATACTTCTTGAAACACCTAGAAATGCAATGAAACACCTGATAATGCAATTATTTATCAGGAATATACAACAGAAGTGTTGCCACAGGTAAGATGCTAAGAATCACTCAGAACTCTGCAGGTGCAGAATCATCAAGGGGTCACATTCTATCCAACCAATGTCTACTTTGCGCACATGGACTCTACAGAGTTACTTAGCCAAGCAGGTGCAGGTGTGGGAGGCCCATCTCTTGCAGGGTATCATCCCAGTACTGTCTCATAATGGAATTATCAAGGCAGTGGTCCTCAAATGTGATCCATGCCTGCCGCATCAGTATTACCAGGAAGCTTGTCAGAAATGCACACTCTCGGGCTCTCCCCCAATTACTGAGTGAGAAAGATGGAGTGGGCCAGAGAAAACCGTATTTTAATAAGTCCTTCTATTGACATCGCTGCTGGATAAAGTTTGAAAAGCAGTGAATTAAGGAATGTAGCATCATAACCAAGGACCAGGAGTCACAAGGAAAGAATCTCCTCCACTTACCCTCCCCTCTCCTGAGGTCTCCACCTTGCCAACCATCACTGTACCCTTACGTTTGCCAAAGCTCCAGGAGGATACCCTATTTCTTTTTCTTCACTGGAACAGCAAATGTCAAGGTGAGCTTTGACTACTGAGTGGAAAAGAAATTTCAGCCTGCAGTATTCGATCCAGTAGTAAAGATGCTACTGGGGAAGCCTACATCCCACATCAGAAAGCTGAGGTTTGAGTCCTGGCTCTATTTCCAATTCCTGTTTCCTGCTAATTCACATCCCAGGGGGCAACAGGTGTGGGCTGAAGCAGTTGGGTCACTGTCACCTATATGGGAGACCCAAGTTGAGTTTTGAGCTCCTGGCTTCGGCCTGGCCTAGCCCTGGCTGTCTTGGGCCTGTGGGGAATGAACCAGAAAAAAGAAGATTGCTATTTCCCACACCCCACAGTAAACAAAAGAATTAAATTCTAGCTTGCTGAAAGAGCATGGTGCCTTCCCTCAATTATGGTCATTTTGCATTGCTGTCTTAATGTACTTCATTTAATGTTTATCAAGAACAAAATCCTGTGCAAAAAAAAATATTTTACATCTGTGTCACTGAACATGTAATCAATATCATGAAGTTTACAGTCTGATGAGAGAAATTTTCCGCTAAAATATCACATGCAAACAAGCATTATGAAATCCAAATCAAATGCTTTAAAGGAGAGCAACTATTGGCCATGTGAATGGATCAAGGAGAAATGTGACGTAGATATTACAGCTGCTTCCTTAGGGAATGACATTTAAGCACACCCATCTGTAGGTCAAGTCAAAAAATGGGAGAAGGAAGTATTGACTTAGAGGAAAAAGTATGTGCAAAAGCCATGTAACAGAAGAATGATGTTTTAAAGAACTGAAAGCAGACCAATGGTACTATAGCACACTGAGAAGAAGAGGCAGGGGAAAGTGCCCACATTACAGATTTGTTTATTGCTGTAACCATGAGATCACCCAGGCTGCTGTGTGGAGAACGGGAAGGAAGCTAGACTGGAGTGACCACTGTCACTGTGTCCAGGACAAACACAAAGGCAAGTTAGACAAGGAGAGGTGGAGAGAAGCAGACAAATCTTGGAAGAAATTTAAGCAATAGCAATACAGAAGACTTAGTGGCATGGAGTGTGAGAGAATGGAAATGGCCAAGGATAATACCTTCATTTCTGGTGTAGGACACTTGGTTACTATTCACAGATACAGAGAACACTGAAGGAGGAACAGGTAGGAGTGGGGGTAAGTGTGGGAGGTCTGTGAGGTCTGTTTGTAATGAGTGTGTTTGGGGTCCCTTTGATATTTATAAATACAAAGTTAAGATATGCAATAGCAAAGTTGTTCTGAAATATAGAAGTTGATCTGAGCTAGAAAAATGAAATTGATTCTTCGCAGAGAGCTGACAAAACTACCAGTTCAGATGAAATGAAAAGAGTGAAGAAGAGAGGGGCTTAGCTAAGCCCTATGGAGAGTACAGAAATACCGTTCCTCTCAGAAACAATGGAAAAGACAGACTAGAGAGGTTGAGAAAAACTAAGAGAACAAGACATCACAAAAACTAGTGGACAAACATGTTCTCAGAGAGAAAGGCTGGTCAAGATCTCTACCCACCCAAGATAGAACTCCAGCAGGAGGTACCACTTTGTCAACAATGTGACAATAAGCAGGAGTCCTTGCAAGAAGCACACTGAAGCTAGAAAAATCAGCATTTTCCTTAGGGAAGAAAATGGTTCTACCCTACTAAACCTTATTTTTCAATGTTGGAGAGTCCAATCTTCTCTAAGGACAGATGTAGCTATTAATACTCAAGTAAAATGGATACTCACCTAAATTTGTCTTTGTATAGCAAGTGACAGAGGTCCCCATCTCCTAAACTTTCTTCCCAGCATCCTCATCAGGGACTCAGATTTTGGACAGCAATGGGAGGCTTCTTTCTTGGTGCTGGTTAAGACAACCAATCCGAATGTCTTAGCTCTAGAACAATGCCATAGGAGAAAAGCATCAAGGAGTGTTAAACACCGTTGAACCTCAACCCGCCTTGGGCAAGGCTTCACAAAGCACTGGCAACCTCTAGATTATGGGAACTACGTGAAGGGAATCATTGGCACAATGGCCAAACCACTGCTTTTGAGTCACACAGCTCCTTTCAGTAACAGTTTCTAAAACTTCCCACCTTGTCTGCTGACCATCACTTCATGTCAAACCTAGTCTCTACCCAAAGGATCGATACCAACAGATGTAATGACACGTCTAAGACAGCCTCAGCCAGATAGCTCTTGAGGGCAGAAGCTAGCTGCCAGAGCAACACCTATACCTTCCTCTTCTTCTGGTTTCCCACCAGGGCTAAGGAAAGTTAGAACGTTACTATGGAGGGCTAGTCATTGACAGAGATGTGACATGAGGAAGCAATAAGTACATTCAAAAGCCATTGAGCTGTACCCTTACTGTATATGTTATACTTCACCAAAAGTTAAATGAACGTGAACACAAGTAGCGTTTGATTGTAAAATGTTTACCCTGAGATGCCCGATGTGAGGCTGTCATCAGTTGTACCAAATCACTGACTTCAACTTTATTTTGTGCACTGCTTTTGGGGTAGTTGAAATGATGGGCCCCCGAGGCCTAAACCTATGACATCAATCATATTTAATCTTCACAGATACCCAATGAGATAGTATCAAGCTCATTTCACAGATGGGGAAACCGAGACTCAAAGAGGTTGAATAACTTGATACATGTATCTCAGTCCAAAACCACTGACTTTTCAATAAGCCTGACACACAGTGAAGAAACATGACTCTGTGAGCAAGAGGCAAGGGCTATCAGTGTCCAGGACACGAGAAAGACGTGTCAAGGAGGAATGGAGAGAGAGAAAAAGGGTCCAGACTGCAAAAAGCAAACCTGAATAGGTGTGGAAAGCTCAGTGAAAACTGTTCTACTTGGGAGATTTTTGGAAAAGTAAAGCATGTTGGAAAAAGCCACAAGTATTGAATTTAACATTTTAAAGATTCTAAGTCAGTGTGATTTTTTAGTCAGTTTTGACCCTGTAGAAGACAGTCAAAATAGAAATGTGACACATGTTCTCAAGGTGTTTTTTTTTTTTTTTAAGATTTCATTTATTTGAGAGGTAGAGTTACTGACAGTGAGAGGGAGAGAGAGAGAAAGGTCTTTCTTCTGTTCACTCCCCAAATGGCCACAACAGCCGGAGCTGCGCCAACCTGAAGCCAGGAGTCAGGAGCTTCCTCCAGCTCTCCCCAGGACTTAAGTCATTTTCCACTGCTTTCCCAAGGGCCTGCTTTCCCAGGCCACAGCAGAGAGCTGGATTGGAAGAGGAATAGCCGGGATTGGAACCAGAACCCATATGTGATGCTCGCACTGCAGGTGGAGTATTAGCCTACTGCACCACAGCACTGGCCCCTTATATAATATATATATTTTTTTTTTTTTTGATAGAGTTAGACAGTGAGACAGAGAGAAAGGTCTTCCTTCCATTGGTTCACCCCCCAAATGGCTGCCACAGCTGGTGCTGCGCCGATCCGATGGCAGGAGCCAGGTACTTCCTCCTGGTCTCCCATGCGGGTGCAGGGCCCAAGGACCTGGGCCATCCCCCACTGCCTTCCCGGGCCACAGCAGAGAGCTGGACTGGAAGAGGGGCAACTGGGACAGAATCCGGCGCCCCAAATGGGACTAGAACCCGGGGTGCAGGCGCCGCAGATGGAGGATTAGCCTAGTGAGCCATGGCGCTGGCCTTATTATATTGTTTTCAAATGAGTCTGTCAAATCACTCATTTGATCTTCTCACTCAACTTTTCTCAATATATTTCCTTGGGTCTGGCCACTTGCTGAACTCTCCTTAGTTCTAATTGTTGATTATCATTTTACAGCAGATGACCATATAATCCACAAGTAAGGACAATTCTGCATCTCTCTCTCCAATCTTCATGCCTCTTACTTACGTTTCTTGATGTATTACACTGGGTAGATCTTCTAGCTCCATGTTGAACACTAGTAGTGATAAGAGGTATCTTCTCTTCAGTGGTAATGCTTCTGATTTTATATCTTTGTTCTCCTTTCTGTATCTCAAACTGTACGTCATGCTGCTGTACTTTTTTTTTTTTTTTTTTTTTTTTTTTTTTTTTTTTTGCTTTCACTATACTTTGTCTACCTTGTAGGAAAACATTGGGGAAAAAATAGCAAATCTAAACTTCAGATGGTTTTCCTTCCAGCATGGAAATGGAGGCTAGAAGAGCTGGAGACTTGGAGCACCTGAAGCCACGGAATTCCCAGGTACTGGCGAGGGGGAAAGTGAACATGAAGCTCTACCCAGAACCACCCAAGCACAAGAGGCAAATGCTCACCTTCTAAGCAGTAGTGAGGTCATAGTGGGAGTTGGAGGGACCCTGTGTGCCAGTTCATCCATGTTGTTAAGGGACCACTGCTAGTTTCTGGCTTTAGACACATGATCTCAGCATGGATTTGTCTTTTTCTTACCATGCGCAGATGTCAACAGGCATTCTCATACGCACCACAGTATGTCATCTGTTTGAGTCAGTGGATTTAAAAAGAGCCATGACTCTCAAGAGATATTTCCTGAATGAAGAAACTTTGGGAAATTCAGATCAATTGCTTCTAATCATCTTCTTTCAAGCAAATTAGTGGCAACATGTAGACTTTTTACTGCATAACATCGACATTAATACTCTACTGATGGACTGAAAAGTCAATAGGTCTCCCTCACCAAGGTAAGGGGGTCTTCAGTCACCTGAGACTCTGACCTCCCAACCCTTCAATCTCTCCTTTGGTAGAATGTGGATACTGATGGTAATGGTTCATCATACATAAGAATGACAGTCTTGTGGGATAAAGACTGGAGTGAAGGCCAGAAAGGATCTCTTACGGGGTTTATCAGCTGGTGCTCGCTAGTATATTTAAAATCTTCAAAGTATTTATATATACACGAGAAAATGATGCATATAGTGTTATTTTTAAATAAAATACATTTAGCAGATACTTCTCTTGATCTGCTGAGATCCTAGAGGCATTCAGAGAGACGGTACAATCAAGAAAGTTACAGGCTTAACTAATCCTGATCAGAATCCGATTGCCAGCTACACAGCGTGCCCCTGGGAGAGCTGTCCCACGGCTGAGCCAGACACTGCTGATGTACATCTCCTCATATGGAAAAACAGGACCCATTTTCTGAAAATCATACTGCATTGCATGGCTGTGAGGACCCCACCATGATGCGCATCAGAAGCTGGTATTCCGATCCCAGTTCTGGGAAGACTGCCTTCCATTTCCCCCGTGCCCTGCACGCATGTCAGGAAACGCAGTCAGACACAGAGAAGGCAATCAGAGTGGGACCCGCACTTACAGTCGAGTCCAGCTGTGGGCGTCTCAGCTGGACAAAGGGAGAAGAATGGAGGAAAAATCAAGCTTTGTCTCTCAGACCCAGCACGCAGGAACAACAGGAGGGGCAGATGAAGCGCTTTATAGGTTTTGGAAGACACTGGCCATGGCAGCCAGTGCCACAGCTCTGAAAGATCGGAGGGGGAGCCAGGGGCAGCCGCTCCTGAAGGGAGGGGCGACGTGCAGATGCACACGTCACGGGGATTCCTGCAGAGTCATTTTCAGCAAGGTTTGGCCCCGATTGCTTCTCACTGGTACTGCTTTCTTTTTGAGTCATGGCTTTGCTTTTATAGAAATTGTCGCAGTCAAAATATTTTAAAAGATTACCATTTAAAGAAGAACAAAAACTTCCCTCTGTTTGCATGATTTCCTCATCTTAGGGAACTTTTAGAGGCTAAAGCTTCAGCCAGCTCAGTATTTTCTCCCTTTAAATCTTTTTTTTTTAAGATTTACTTATTTATTTGAAAGAGTTACACAAAGAGAGGAGAGACAGAGATAGAGAGAGAGAGGTCTCCCATTGACTGGTTGAGTCCCCAATTAGCCGCAATAGCCGGAGCTGCGCCAATCCGAAGCCAGGAGCCAGGAGCTTTCTTCTGGGTCTCCCATATGGGTGAAGGGGCCCAAGGACTGGGGCCATCGTCTACTGCTTTCCCAGGCCATAGCAGAGAGCTGAATGGGAAGTGGAGCAGCTGGGTCTCAAATTGGCGCCCATATGGGATTCTGGCACTGCAGGCGGCAGCTTTAACCGCTATACCACAGTGCTGGCCCCTCCCATTAATTCTTTTTGGTACTAAAATATATGCACAGAAAAGTACACATTTCATAATGTACAACCTGAAAAAATTTTTTGAAATAAACACTCTCTTACAACTAACACCCAGATTAAGAGATGGGATGCTACCAGTACCCCCGTAAGCCTCCCTCTCATCCCTTTCCAATAAATAACTCAAAAATAGCAGGTTTTTTTTTTTTTTTTTTTTGACAGGCAGAGTGGACAGTGAGAGAGAGAGACAGAGAGAAAGGTCTTCCTTTACCGTTGGTTCACCCTCCAATGGCCGGCGCGGCCGGCGCGCTGCGGCCGGCGCACCGCGCTGATCCGATGGCAGGAACCAGGTACTTCTCCTGGTCTCCCATGGGGTGCAGGGCCCAAGCACTTGGGCCATCCTCCACTGCACTCCCTGGCCACAGCAGAGAGCTGGCCTCTCTGGAAGAGGGGCAACCGGGACAGAATCCGGCGCCCTGACCAGGACTAGAACCCGGTGTGCTGGCGCCGCTAGGCGGAGGATTAGCCTAGTGAGCCACGGCGCCGGCAAAAATAGCAGTTTTTTTGATGGCCAACAATACTATCCTTCAAAAATACTGGAGGGAGGGCATGATGGTACAGTGGGGTGAAGCTGCCACTTGGGATGCCTGCATCCTATATCAATGTGTTGGGAGCAAGTCCTGGCTCTGCCTCTGCTTCCAAATCAACTTTATGCTGATGTGCATGGGAGACGACAGGTGATGGTTCAAGTACTTGGGTTCCTGCCACCCATGTGGGAGATCTGTATGGAATGTCTGGATGCTGGCTTTGACCTGGCCCAGCCCTTGGCTGCTGTGGGTATTTGGTGAGTGAATTAGTGGTTGGAAGACCTTTCTTTCTCTCCCACTCCTTTCAAATAAAAAGGAACATCAATTTCAAAAGTTGGATCATACTGTATTTACTTTTAGAAGTTTCTATTTATCAGCTGGATGAGAAGGGAGAGGGGAAGGGAGTTTCCATTCACTGATTCACTCCTCAAGTGCCTGCTAGGTAGAGGTCAGGAGCTGAGTCTCCCACCTGGGTAGCAAGAGCCCAGTCACTTGAGCCATCACCATGGCTGCCCAAGGCCTGCATTAGCAGGAAGCTGGAGTCAGGACCCAGAGGTGAATAACAAACCTGGGCACTCCAAACAGGGTATAAGCACCATAAGAGCCAGGCAAAACACCTGCCATTGTACTGTTTTAGTGGACTTCTTTCTCACATATTTGTGGGATGGATATGTACACATTTGTGTGTGTGTGTGGTTGTAGGTAATTCTTTTTTTGACAGGCAGAGTTAGACAGTGAGAGACAGACAGAGAAAGGCCTTCCTTTTTCTGTTGGTTCACCCCCCAAGTGGCTGCCACAGCTGGCGCTGTGCCGATCCGAAGCCAGGAGCCAGGAGCTTCTCCTGGTCTCCCATGCGAGTGCAGGGCCCAGTGACCTGGGCCATCCTCCACCGCACTCCTGGGCCACAGCAGAGAGCTGGACTGGAAGAGGAGCAACTGGGACAGAATCCGGCGCCCCAAATGGGACTAGAACCCATGTGCTGACACCGCAGGTGGAGGATAAGCCAAGTGAGCCATAGCGCTGGCCGTAGATAATTCATTCTTATTGCTCTACTGAATTCTAGGAGGGTACTTCAAAAAGTTCATGGAAAATGGAATTCAACATTTAGGTATAAAAAAATTTTGAAGTCTACCCAGGTAAGGGGTCTTCAAAAAGTTCATGGGTAATGCACATTATGGAAAGAAACCATGTGTAGTCCTTTCTAATTTTGCACCAAAATAAATTATCTTTTCATTTTCCATGAACTTTTTTGTGCCCTCACATTCTGTGCATCTATCATATTTAATTAAATTGCTCTTGGGGCCTGTGCTCTGGTGCAGTGGGTTAATGCCCTGGCCTGAAGCACCAGCATCCCATATGGGTGCCAGTTCAAGACCTGGCTGCTCCATTTCCAATCCAGCTCTCTGGTATGGCCTGGGAAAGCAGTAGAAGATGGCCCAAGTCCTTGGGCCCCTGCACCTGCATGGGAGATCCAGAAGAAGCTCCTGGCTTCAGATCAGCAGTTTCGGCCATTGTGGCCAACTGGAGAGTGAACCATTGAATGGAAGACCTCTCTCTCTCTTTCTGCCTCTCCTCTTTCTGTGTAACTCTTTCAAATAAATTTTAAAAAATCTTTAAAAAATTATATTTCTCTTGTACACTTGTGCTCTTCCTCGTTTGGGCTCTTACAAATAGCACTGCCAGGAACACTCTCATACATGCCCACTTGGGGGCCATTTCACTTCAGTCTTTAAAATTATATGGAGTATGTTTGGTGGAAAGGGGGAAAAACCGTGTTAGAATCTAATTGGTGGATACTCAAAATAGTAGCTTTACAAGGTGACATCTTTGAATATCATGAGAACAGGCACCTGAAACTAAGTTCTAAAAACTATAATTCTACAAGGACAAAATAAGAACCCCAGTGAAAAGGAAAAGAGAGCATTTACTTCTAAAACCAGAAGATATGCCAATGTAACACAAAGAAGCTGATAGCACTGTTTTTGCTTTTTCCTCACAGACTTAGCATTTATTTCTACTAAAAACTAGAACTATCATTTGATCCAGCAACCCCACTACTAGAAATGAAAGCACTCTGTCAAAGACACATCTGTACTGTCATGTTCATTGCAGTATTCTCCACAGTTACCAAGATATGGAATCAACAGAGGTGCCCACTGACAGATTAACAGATCAAGAAAATGTGGTACATGTACACAACAGAATACTATTCGATCCAAAAAAGGACATTTGGCCATCTATAACAACATGGAGGAGCCTGGCAGCCATAAGTCAAGTGAAATAAGCCAGGCACAAAAACACAAATACAGAGTGATCCTTGTTTGTGGAATCTAAAAAGCAGAGCCCACAGAAGCAGACAGTAAAAACTAAGGGCTGGCAGAAGGCCAGGAGACTGGGGAAATGTTGGTCGAAGGATGAAAAATTTCAGTAAGATGGGAAGGAAAAATTCAAGAGATCTGTTGTAGAACATGGTGACCCCAGTAGGCAACAATGTACGATATGCTTGAAAATTGCAAACTGAGTTTAAATGTTTTCTCAGAAAACTTATCTTTTGTACGACTCTTTTTTTTCTTCTTTTTTTATTTTTATTTTTTATTTTTATTTTTTGACAGGCAGAGTGGACAGTGAGAGAGAGAGAGAGACAGAGAGAAAGGTCTTCCTTTGCCGTTGGTTCACCCTCCAATGGCCGCCGCAGCCTGCGCGCTGCGGCCGGCGCACCGCACTGATCCGATGGCAGGAGCCAGGAGCCAGGTGCTTTTCCTGGTCTCCCATGGGGTGCAGGGCCCAAGCACTTGGGCCATCCTCCACTGCACTCCCTGGCCACAGCAGAGAGCT